GCTAGTTTTTTGTATTTTTAGTAGAGATAGGGTTTCACCATGTTAGCCAGGATGGTCTCAATCTCCTGACCTCATGATCCGCCCACCTCGGCCTCCCAAATCGCTGAGATTACAGGTGTGAGCCACCACGCCTGGCCTTGGATTTGCATCGTTTAAAGACCCCTCTGGCTGCTGGATGGAGAATGGCCTGGAAGGGCATGAAGGTAGGGATTGGCAGAGCAGTAAGGAGGTTCCTACCGAGGGCCAGGAGCCCAGTGAGAATAGCGGCAGTGAACTGTGGGCCGGAGAGAGCAGATTCCAGAGATCTTTAGGAAGTAGGAGGCAGGTGGCCAGGTGTGGTGACTCACGCCTGTAATCCCAGCACTTTGGGAGGACGAGGCATGTAGATCACTTAAGGCCAGGAGTTCAAGACCCGCCTGGCCAACATGGCAAAACCCCATCTCTACTAAATATACAAAAATTAGCTGAGCATAGTGGTGCATGCCTGTAATCCCAGCTACTCGGATGGCTGAGGCAGGAGGATTGCTTGAGCCCAAGAGGCGGAGGCTGCAGTGAGCCGAGATCGCACCACTGCACTCCAGCCTGGGCAACAGATTGAGATGCCACCTCAAAATTTAAAAAGTAGCAGACAGGTGACTGGCATTGGACAGTAGACTGGCATTGGAGGAGGGCCAGGGAGGAGTTGGGAGTGACTCCTGGGTTCTATCCGTGGGGCTGCGTGTCTGCTGAATGAGATGAGGAGGAGAACTGCAGGGGAACACATTTGGGGTTGAAAAGTCAGGAGCTCTATTCAGGACATTCTGCACTGGAGACCCGTGAGACACCCACATTGCACGTCAAACAAGGGGGGTCCTCACAAAGGCAGGGGATCGACTCCTCTGCTGGGTCAAGCACCCTGCACCCAGGCCTCTCACCTCCAGAGCCCAGGAACCTCTTGCCATCGGAGACCACCGGATACTTGGCCTCCAGCCTGCGGTCTGGGTAGATGAGCTCCTCAGCAGAGAAGACCACCTGGCTCCTGGCCTGCCGGAACTTCTTCAGGAGCTCCCGGGGCCCCGATGCGAACAGCACGTCGTAGCTGTGGCCAGAGCAGCAAGAAGACGGAGCAGGGCAGGGGTGAGCAGGGGCCCAGTGAGAGCACAGACAGGAGGGACCAGGGATCAAGTGCTCCACAAATGGCCCTCTGCCCATGCCAGCCTGGGCCGCCATCTGGGAAATGGAACTGTCTGTCTGCAGCCCTGCCTGCCATGTTCCCACCCCAACCCTGGGCAGACAGACGGTCCCCACAGCATGTCATTCTTCTCTTACTTAAAGTGGGCCCATCACACTCATGGGCCACCTCCTCTTT